CTTTTTGCATTCACAAGTAAAAAAAAAAACTTTTTGCATTCAGATTTAGTTAGTATTTTAAATTCTTAATGCATTGGATTTTATACTTTTTGCATTCACAAGTCATAAATAAAAAAAAAAAATTGGATTCACTTCCTCTTTTTCATTGGTACACCTTTTTATATAAATATCCTCCATAAAAGTCTTAGTGCAATGTCTCTATACAATTTGATAAATATAAAAGAAAAACTTTCTTCTAGTACCATATTTTTCAAGTGTATCTTTATCATCTACCATGGTGAATCTGGAGCTAGAGCTTAACCTAAACTCCGCAAGTGACCTTGAGATTGTTAACCACGTCACAAAGATGGACGTTTACGTCGTCATAACCCTTCACGGCCACAAAACCCTAAAGAAACACAAGGAGAAAACCGCCGTGGATCACTCCGGCGGCCGACTTGGAATCACGCCGTCAAGTTTTCCGTCAACGAGAAGTCACTCCTTGAAGGTCGTTTAATTCCGAGTCTTAGGCGATAAAGAAATTGGTGAAGTCGAGGTTCCGTTTACTTGATCTCTTGCGTTCATATACGCCGTCAACTAACGGTAACGGCGATGGGATGAGGTTTGTGACGTATCCCGTGAGAACTCCGTCGGAGACAATGAAAGGTTGTTTGAGTTTCTCGTACCGGTTCAATGGATCACTGGTTAACTCCGCTCAGGCTTACTACGAGATGCCAACGGGGGCTCCACCGAGTCAATATGGAGTATGGACCGTATGGTCATATGGAGGCGCCGCCGCCTGTATACGGTGATCCGCCGCCTCAGCACCCGACGAGGAATGAAGAAAGGCTACAAACTGCTGATACTTTTGTTTCAGCGATGTCCTTAATTAATTAGTGACAATTTTATGATTTGTCTTGTTGAATTTGTTTAAACTTGAGCAATATCATGAGCAAGGTGAGAATTGGAAATGATATTATGTTTAGTAGGGTCACTACAAGAAAACAAGCAGTATTTCGATGGAATTTCTGACGGACAAATTTCCGTCGGACAAAATTTCCGTCGGAAATTTCCGACGGCATTCCGACGGATTTCCGAGCAAAATGAATCCGTCGGAAATCCGTCGGTTTATTGTGACGGATTTTCGACGGACACGGAAACCGTCGGTATTCCGTCGG